TAAAAGTATTTAATTGCTACTTGTTGCCCATGTGAAAAAGTTTCTTGAACTAAACCTTTACTTTATGTTAAGTTTTGGCCTTCTTGATATATAAAGATTTACACTTGCCTGACTTTCATGACTTACTGTTTCAGAAGCTTCTTCATTAGCAAGCTCATCCACAAATTCAACCCCACACTGTGCTGCTGCAGAATATGATTGGGTACCTGTACCCTGATGATGAAAAATTAGCAACACTGTTTAAAAAAAGAAACTTTATACAATATTCAAGAACTTACTTTGTGAAATGAAAAATATTAGATATATACATCTTCATTGTAAGGTTCAGGAGAACTTACAGAATCTGTATCCCCTGGCTGTTTGTCTGACAACTCCTGACCTTTGCACATGAGGGCCTGGCCCTTGCAAAGTAAAACATATATTAAGTAATTAAAAGCAATTATCATAGGAGGTGATCTGCAATTTAAGTAAACACAGAAATTGTACAAGAAACCTGAAAAAAAGCCAGGCTTCAACAATGCCTCCCAGATGCTAGCGATAAAGGGGGTAAGTTTGATGCTGCGTCAGTGGGTGAGCATATTGCTCAGGGTTATTTGGTATTATCAACTGAGTTCACCGAGAGGAGTTTCAAAACTTCAATTTCAAGCATTAGCCCTTCGTCAGAGTGAATGTCATTCCCAGATGCTAGTTAGGTGTTACTACCAACTGAGCTACAAAGCCACTTGCTGGGAGTGCGGCATATTTAACTCTTTACACTCTGACATCATTATGTATATTCTCCATGCTGTTCTCTATACATTTCTTATGGTGCTAACAAGGAGAATTTGTTTAGCAATCAGGTGCTTCTTTACTTTGTGATCATTTCCTTTATTCTTATGACCTTAATGTATGATTCAGAGGTCATGTTGTTGGGAGAAATTAGATGCGAGTCACTCTTAGGGGTTAAAGAGTTGAGATATGTCCAGAAATGCATGCAGCAACAAAAATGGTGAAAATTCACCAAATCTGAAGATGATTTCATTTTGACAAATTTGACTAAAATTTGCCAAAATCTTCAAATTCATGAACATTAATTCCATTTAACGAAATTTCCTTTCATCAGATCTGCCATTTTCATTATTGCATGCATTTCTAGACATAAGTGAAAGGGTTCCCTGCTCCCAAAGGGTGGCTTTGTAGCTCAGTTGGTTGTAATCATCACTCCACAGATAGCATACTTGTCGTACACAGTCCTAATATCATGTGATCACTCCAACTGGGAATGAGAACCAGACAGCTCAATCCAGAGTACAAAGGGCATTGACAGTATATCAACAAAACCAAACAATATGAACTGACACAGCTGCCACCTTCACCTATCACTTACTGGAACAAATACAGCTGCATCTGCCCAGTTCTTAGGATGTTTTGACTTCTGCTTTGTGAGGGAAACCATCTGTTAAAGATTGAAAAGAAAAAACAGAAATCAAGGCATATTTTTAACCTACTAGGCCACACAATACATTGACATCAAAGTGATACACATTAAATTACCAGTACCTCTCTTTTATCATCATTCTTTGGGAGAAGTGGTATCGGTTTTGGTCCCGAATAAGTTCTTATCCTGTAATGTATAAAAAACAATATTCAAGCTACTTTGACAATATATTTCTCTTCCCTTATATTGGTGACTTAATTAAGCACAATCTTTTCTGAGATGCAAATGGTGGCTAAAAGTGTGGTGAAAGTACTTTGATCAGGTGGGCTTTGACATCAACCAGATTCATGACTGAGAAGCCCTGATAGAATTCTTAACTACATGATAACAACAACAGATCTGTGATTACCCTTACACCCTTACATCATTATGCAGCCATACTCTTCATACTGGTCTTTTAGACTATTGGAGAATACATTGTTCAATGATCAAAAGCTGCTTTAGTTGGTGGTCACTACTCTTTATTCTTGTGACCTTCACATTTGATTTAGGGGCAATACTGTATGGAGAAATTAGAAACTAGTCACTCTTTGGCATTAAAGAATAAGCACCAAGGAAAAGAATCCTCAATATCCAGATGCTTTCTGTCTTTAAAAAAACATCTGGGCTCCTTCTCAACCTCTTACTTCCACCTCCCAATTGCACTTACCTTACAATGATCACAATTTCATTTTAAACCACTTCCAAATAACAGAAAATTACAAGCTACATCAAGTAGGATTTGGCTACAAAATATTACTATAAAAATACCTGGACAATATACTGGGTATTTAGCCAGGTATTAGCTGAGGTTATAATCTCATACTTAGTAAGAAACAAACATGCAGAACTAAATTAATATTATACCTTCCAGAAGATGGCTTCACGTGATCATAGCGGCAACTATTTCCATATGAACATGACCCTTGGAGATAGTACTTACAAACCTTCACAAAAAAACAGTTTTTCATGATACTTACTTTTTGTGTCAAACACATAGGGGTTTTTTATAGGAGAGGAAGAAAATGTCTTTGGAAGAACTAATTGCTTGATGGTTGGGAAACAAATCACAAAATTACCAATCAAGGCTGCACCACAAGATGCTAGAAAAGGTCAATGCTTTGCTATCCATTACTGAAGAATTATGTGTTGAAAAGAAGTATAAAAGGGAAGGACCTAGGAACTTTACTATGTGCAACAAGGGGATCACATATTGCTTTACATCTAGACAGTGAAAAAATTTACAGGGACAGACACATTGTTACTCACAACATAATTATATTATCTTTTTGGTTAAAGTTCTTGATCAATTACCATGGAGGGCTTTTCCTTCAAATCATGAGAATACTGGCAGTTCTCTCCTTCTCTACAGACTCCATGCATGTAATACCTTAATAAAAAATGCATAAATGTCAATTATGTGCTATTTGTAATTTGCACTCATGTCACAACTTTACACTTGTGTTTCATGAAAAATGCACTTGTTTTCAGCCAATCAGAAGCATGTATTTTTTAATGTATATCATTATGTAGCTAACTGATAAACCAATCAATACCTGCAACAGGATGAATACTAATATAATGATAATAATAATGATAATAATGAAATGGATAATAATAATGGTATCAATAATAATTTTTATGAAAATGATAATAGTAATAATAATAACAATAATATTAATAACAAGGGAACACAATAAAGACAATGTAATCTAGAGAGGAGGGGTTGAGGAAGTAGTGGGATCACTGAAAAAAAAGCTTAGAAAGCTGAACCTCTGACAAAAGCGATTAGTATCTGTTAATGAATAAACAAGGAAGGTATCTCCACGTGAGCCAGACCATTGGAATAGAAGGTGGCAGAGAACAGAATGAGAAGTGGCTTTGGTCCCCAATCCAACTCCACCTCCACCCATCACAGAAATCCTCGGGAGATGACTCTTTTTTCTGTAAACCTGGGGACCCTGATGTTGAGTATATGAGAAAATTTGACTTTGACATAGTTATTCTCTGAATCAAATGAGTACTCTTAATTACATAATAAAATGCCATTGGTGAGGCATATGGTATATCTAAAATGGTCTCCGGTTGTAAAAAAAAAAACATTTACAACAGAACAAAACGCGAAATTTGACGCCACATGCAGGCTACGAGTCACACGATTCGTTGGAAAGTTTTCCTTGCATCGATCGATACTTACATCTAAAGAAAGAATTGAGATCCTTAAAACAACAAGACTAAAATTACACACAAAGAGAAAGCCGGTAACGTAGAAACAGATTGTACACATGGGTGTACTTACCTGCACAAGATTTGCTTTGTTTGTGCTAATGACGATCTACGGGGAAAAAAGATCAGTTGTGGATTATTTACCATGATTTAAGACAGTGACCGTGAATAAACTTTACCCTTGATGAACAGCCATTTTGGAAACACCAAATTGCGCCACTGATTGAAAGATTCCGGTCAAGTGTAGAGTGCAGTGAGAAAGTGAATATTTAATGCTTTATATTGACAATTTTCGGTAACCGCTGACCAGTCTCGTGCAGGAATAGGACTACGGAAGAGGTGGATACACGCATGCTTGCCACGTCAACCAGCTGACAAAAAGTACAACAGGCCTAAAATACCGGCAAATTGCTATATCGATCGCAAACAAGCTGTCATCTACGAGAAAACTGTGTTCTGCAATGGTCCGAATGATATTTTGTGTTTTTCTTTCCCTTTTATTCTTTTCAGCGCTGCACGGATTGGAAAATGACGACCACGATGTTGAAGTAGAACACGGACATTCTCACGAGGAGGGACATAAACATCACTCTCATGGACATAGCCATGATCATGGCCACGGCCACAGCCACAGCCATGATCATCACGGCCACAGCCATGGTTCACACGACCACAGCCATGATTCCCACGGCCACGGCCACGGCCACGGCCATGATCATCACAGCCACAACCATGATCATTATGAAAAGCAGAAGTACATTCATCATGGAACAAGCTCTTCTTCTAAGCTACCATCCCGCGATGGAAACTTGACAACTAAATGGCTTCAAGCAATTGGCGCAACTTTACTTATCAGCGCGGCACCCTTCTTCATCTTGTTCTTTATTCCACTTCAAAGCAACTCGGCCGAACAACAACCGCTGTTGAAGATCCTTCTAGCCTTCGCTTCAGGAGGCCTTCTTGGAGATGCGTTTCTTCATCTGATCCCCCATGCGATTTCTCCGCATTCGCACGGAAGCGGTGATGGCCACGAGCATTCTCACTCTCATCAACACAGCCACGACGGCGAGCATCATCATGACCACTCTTCAGAAATGGCTGTCGGTCTCTGGGTTTTAGCTGGTTTGATTGCCTTTTTGATGGTCGAGAAATTTGTTCGGCTTGTAAAGGGAGGGCATGGCCATTCACATAGTGCCCCGAAAATTGTAGCCAAAAACGGTGATGTGTCTCCGAAGAACGGACATGAACATGACGATTCCATATCGGGAGAGACTGATCAAGAAATACGGAAGAGAAAAAAGACAGACGAGGCAACAGAGAAGGACAGTAACTCAGACAGTGCGTCAGGTATAAAGCTTCTTTATTACAAAACCATTTAAGATAGAGATCATTGTTACCTACATGAAGCTAAATACATCGAGTCACGCTTTTTAAATTTTTAATTTCACTTTTCCAGCAAAACTCTTTTTCACCTAGTTCGTATGCAATATTATTTGACACGTAAGAGGGTCTCGTCAAATTTTATTCAATTTGTACTGTGCGACTGTTTGTTTTTGATCACTATTAATAGTCGGTCACGCTTTCCACCAAACGCAAAACCAAATTACAAAGTCGATCATTAAAATCTCACCATCTCCCGTTGCCTGAACATCGATTTTACAGCACTTAGTTCACAGCTGTACTTTCCCACAGTATCTTTTTTTTTATTTTAACAAAATTCATTAATTTTAAGTGTATTATTTCAGCTTTTTGAAAATTTCGAGTGTAAAAATCAATATATCACATATCCTCAGTGACTTGCGAAAATCGATATGCAAATTTCAAGTTTCGTCAACGTGTCAAAGTGAAATAAATCCTCGTGGCTGGGTAAACACTAGGCGCTGTTGTTCGTGCTCTCAATGAGTTTTCAGAGGCTTCAGTGTGAATTTGCGAATTTTATTTAACATTTTTTCCTCGCTGACCTTTCTTTCGAGTTTTAAACGAAATCTTCGTTTTTTTACATGTAATTTTGCTCGCTCCTTACTTATTTGTCTGTCATAATTTTCGAATATTTTCCTCTTTGAATCGACATATTCTGAAATAAAATTTAACATTTCTACCTACACAACCAGTTCTCGAACGAGGTAAACGTTTTTTCGTGTAATTATGGTAACAAACAGCAATTGGAACAGGTTTCAAAGCCTACTGAATGTTCTGCTGCCACGGAAACTGTACTCTTCCAATACTATCCCTAATTGAAATCCATATTAAACATTATTTTTGGAATAAATTTAATCATTCAGTTTAGAAAATTGCAATTTAAATTATTACTAGAACTTTTCATAAATGTCTTAATCCAAATTATTTGTGAACTAATAGCACCCTGGAAGAAAACCACAGTTATCTATATCTGTGGTTATTCTTTGATAATTACAAATCAAGTTTTGGTGATATTTATTTCCATATTCAAATAAAGTACCTGTCTGTAATTAACACTTTGGCTTACAAATATTGCTAAGTTATCATCAGATTTTTTTTCCTTACCAATATCTTAAATAAATGGCTAACCCTCTCACTTCAAAGATGTCAATAGCAATTCTCCTGACTGTCTGCTATGCATTTCTTATTAAGTGACTTTGGAAAATTTGGTTTTGGATCATCTTAAAATCCCCTAAATTGTATGGAGATTGTAAGGAGAAATTCTGTCATGGTCACTCATGGTAGTGTAAGGCTTAACTTGTTACCTCTCCTTACTATATCAAAACATGATTAAGGAAACAGGTGGGGAGAATCAACAAATACTTCTGTCTAAAGATATGTACTAAAAACCTGAAACAGCAAAAAAAAAACAGCTGAAACAACCAAAATGATAAAGTACCATGAGACAGCCTTAACATTTAAATGCCTAAATGGGAGAGAATATCTGAAGTGAAATCAACATTTTCCATGACATTTCATCCTCCACTTATCTCAATAGTGGTAGTGTTTTTTGTTTTTTTTTTGGTCACAGCAGTTGTTTTGTTTTGTTCATTATGGCCATTTTGATTGGTTGGTTGGTTGGGTGGTTTGGCTTGTTTCGTTGTGGTTATTTTTGTTTTGCTGTTTTGGGTTTTATTTGATACCCTGTTTTAATTTAAAACACTACATTTACCTTTTTTTTCACAATGCTTATGACCTAGGAAAGAAATTAATAATCAGACCAGAGAAATTATCAACTTTTTCTTTTTGCAGAACCACATGATCATGAAGAGGATATCAAAGTGGCAGGCTACCTTAATCTTGCAGCTGATTTCACTCATAACTTTACTGATGGACTAGCCATTGGTGCCTCTTTCCTTGTGAGCCGTAATCTCGGCATAATAACCACTCTTACAATTCTTCTTCATGAAGTTCCTCATGAGATTGGTGATTTTGCTATCCTGGTACAATCAGGATGCAACAAGAGAAAGGTGAGTGCAACATGCAACACAGTGTTAAGGAGTTTCTTCATTGGTACATGTACTTTTTCTATGACACTATTTCTTGATTCATGTATTGTCGCAGGTAAAGACCTACTGTAATTTCTGGCCGATTACCTGTAGGTGATCTGTTGATTTTGAATTAAACATGCACCACTGCGGGTAATAGAGAGGTGCAGGTTATGTGACAATTTTAAAATCTACTGGTAGTTGAATTGAAAAAAATTCTCACCTACATGCATTTCCACCTCCCAAATGAATTTTATTGTATTAATGCCACAAGTGACATGAAAACATGTCATGAAAACATGATGCCAACTCAAGTTTATTTCACACACAATTAGTTGTGTGACAAACAAATTGTGGATCAATATCAGTATCTGGGCAACTGCCCACCTACCCCTCCCCTAAATCAACAACAGTCAATTAACAACAATTTAAGGTTAATGTTGGGTTAGGAGAGGGGTAGGTGGGCAGTTGCCCAGATACTGATATTGATCCCAAATTGTCATCAGCATACGTGAAAACAAAACCTTGATGGTGACAAAAATAATCCAAAGATATATGGTACATCAGTAACAAATTTCCATTTAACACCAGCTTGAGCTAAAATAATTTTCCCGTTTTAAGGGACTTGTTAGGCCCAATAGAACCGGAGATATCTATATTTTTCAGAAATTGCCAACAGTACTTTATAATTCAAGTTCTAGCACTCACCCTGCATTCTTTCAACAAATCAACATGGTGCTGAACAATCACTCACACAAAATGTGGCCACAAATTCGCATTCTGTCAAGTATGAAACATTGAGATTTGGGCATGGGCCACTAGTGTTTTCACTTTATAATTTTATCAATAAAGTACATGCTAATATTGACACAGAATTGTGCACACATCTGAATTTCTTTGACCTTTAAACTCAACAAAGAAGCTTTCAAGTTTTCAAAAGTTAGACAGACAACTTTTAGAAGACCAAAATGTATCACCTTAATGTCATGTTTTTGCCACCAAAAAGTTGAATAACATAACATGCGGGTTATCCACCAGTGCAGGTAATCTGTTGACTTTTTTTTTCGCCATATGCAATAATCGGCCGGTGCGGGTAATCGGCTTTGCAGGTAAACGGCCAGAAATTACAGTACATGTAGTTACAAGAATTTGGTGTTAGATCATGACAACAACTTCGATCTACCAGATAGTTTTGAGCATTCTCTCTCTACTGGTTTGCTGGATAGTAAATGTGTATTGTAGGAAGAAGTTACATGTCAACTTTTGGGAGTTATAAAATGCCTTCCGTTTGATATTTTCTATTCCCTCCTTGGTTTGATGAGGATTTGCTGATTTGGAATCATATTAGGGGTGGCTGGGGCTTATTACCTACCAAACCAAGTGCAAACCTCTTCAAATAGCCCACAATGCCATTTTTGTAGTTTTTTTTGGGACATGCAAACCTCCTTGAAATGTTAACAGGGTTCAATATGACTGTCATTGATTTGAGACCAATCATAAGTTGGTAGTTGTTCCAAAGAAAGACTTAGTTAACCGTTTAACCATTAACTGAGTTAGTTAGTTCACCTTAGAAGTTTATATCATGATCTAACACCCACTTCATCCAACTAATTTACAAGGAGATGTGTAGAAGCTAAAGGGGAGAATTAGCAATCAGATCTCGGGGGTTAAGGTGTTAACAACTATTCACCAAAGTAAAGGTGGCTAGTGGTGGATATCTAATCAGTCATGGTAACAGTGAGATAATATAGCATAAAAAATAATTTAAACTCATTTCTTCCTTCAACGATTACAATATTTTGGGCACAAATCCCAAGCGTATTGCTTGGAGTTGAATAGCAAAGGATTTTTGGAGTTTGAGTAGCCAATCAGAGAGCATTGTTGATGCCATCCACTGTTTTAGTACATATATTAAAACATTATTTTGCCAGGTGCATACCAGATGAAACTACACTATTTGTGTAAAACATTATTTAAACAACCAGCCACCCGTATGACCCCATCTACTGCCCCCTCCCCCCTCTTTAATTGTAGTTTTGGAACATATAATTATATGTTGACCTAATATTTGCATTGATCTTTTCAGGCAATGTTTCTTCAACTGACAACAGCCACAGGAGCATTGGCCGGTACGTTCTGTGGCTTGCTAGCAGAAAATATAGGTGAATCAGCAACACTGTGGATCCTGCCCTTCACAGCTGGTGGTTTTATTTACATCGCAACAGTGTCTGTTATTCCTGAATTGCTAGAAGACACTAAATTAGGACAATCCATCAAAGAAATTCTGGGGATGTTGGTGGGGGTTTTAATGATGGTGCTTATTGCTAAATTTGAGTAATTCTTTATAGAATATTTTAAGTTCTCATAAGAGATTAAAGATAAATCCATTACTGCAAGTCTTCTTTAAAGTAAGTTGAGATGGTGCCTTTGGAGTTTAAGTATATGATTGCTGACTTACAGAACACAAAATAGTACAATCTGACGTCAGCAAATATAAATTAAGTAGTAAATATTTACTATCTAATGGTTTAAATTCACCCCCTGAAAAGTGACAGTTTTTTTTTTCTTTTCTTTTTTTTTTTTAACCCAGAAAATAATTTCAAAGGGTTTTACTGTTTGCAATGTGGGTAGAATATTAGTGTGCAGAAAAGACCAATTTTTTTGCATTTTTCAGTTGAAGAGAGGTGAGCACAAAGTGTCAGCCATCTGAATAACACAAAAAAAAATTACACTTGTTCTGTGGGCTAGTAAAACGGTGGCATCAAACATTGGCCCAGTATGGGCTTCCAATTGATTCCAAAGATCTAAAGGACTTTGGAAAATTCTGAAATGTCATAAGATTAGTGCAAGAAAAGAAAAATTGAATTTAAGACTAATTCCATTTTTTCAGGTGACAACATCAATCACGTTTTTAAAAATTATTCCAATTCCAAATCATTTTCCCCATGTGATGAAGTCCCTTTAGCTTGGTTCTCTAGCGGGCTGCAAAAGTGTTTAGGATTTTTGATGCAAGCTTTAAAACAGTTTAATTCACTAATGTCTCGTGCTGTTTGAAGAAAGAAATAATTTGAAGTTCAGAATAACTAAGTTTGACAGAGTTTCAGAATTTCTTTCAATAACTGCTTAAATTGCCCATTTCTGGAGGGCAAATCCATTTAGTACCAAAATTTAAGGTTGACACATTGAAAATATGAATTTATGTTGTTTTGCACTAAATATGTTTCAATTTAAATACTTTATTTTATGTGCCTTTTATTTTTACAACTCTTGTCAATAGTGTTGGTTATTGTGAGGTTTAGTACTCGAATTAAAGGGACCCAGAAATTCTGACTCAACTTGATTGCTGAATGAAGGAAAGAGAAGGGTTTTGGTGTTTGTTTGCAGTGACTTTACAATGCCAATATCAGTATTCATATTCTCCAGACATCTAAGGTGCTGACAAGGAGAATTGGTTTAGCAATCAAGAGCTTCCTTTGTTGGTAGTCATTTCCTTTATTCTTGTGACCCTAATGAGTGATTCAGGGATGATTCTGGAAGGTGAAATTACTCGATAAATTCTTGCCACTCATAGGGGTCGAAGGGAAAAAACACCACCACCACCACCACCACCCCTGCCCCTCCACCCACGGGTATTAGTCGGCAGAAAACTACCCTTTGTTCCAAAAAAAAGAGGAAAAAGTCTGTATATTATGCTTTCAATATAAAAACGATTAAAATTTCGGATTAGTTACTTACATTGAAAATGACCCCGTCTCGCTTCTATAGTTTCATTTTGGCCGTTGTAGTTAAAGTCAAACTCGCCTGGTCAGTATTGAGTGATACAATTATAAAACAGGACGGATCTCATACATGAACAGCTTTTTTGAGTAAAAGTGTACTTTGAATATGGAAAATGAAGTGAGAGCCCAAATTTTCAGTTCTGTGGTCATGGTCAAGTGCCATTATTGTTTGACTTCAACCATATGTACTTTCTGCCAATTAAAACAATCTTAATCTCCTCTTTTACCAGTCTCCCAAATCCCATTCCACCTCCCCCTCGTACCCATTCTTCTCAGTTTAATGCCATCACGTAAGGCTCGTAGGTCACGCAAATGAAAGAGGACAACCCAACTGAAGCTAGATTAACCCTCTAACTCCCAGAAGTGACAAACACGTTGAGAATACTCAAAATGATTAGGAAGAAGTTTTAATCTTTATCTTTATCTTACACCAAATTCTCGTAACTAATTTACAAGGAATTGTGTAGCAGCAAGAGGGAAGAATTAACAATCAGATCTTGTGAGTTAAAGGGTTAAACACAAACATAGAAAAGTCAAACCAGAAGGCAGGGAACAGCAAGGACATTTGGGAGTAACGTTTAATATTGCCGTCTAATGCCTTCACCTAGGAATTTCTCATGTGCTTCTATGACGTGCCTGAATCTAAATATTCAATTCCTAATGTAAATGGTCTTAGGAAATGTAGTTGTTGACGAACTTTGTGATTTTACTCTTAAGAATAGTGTCTTAACCTTCTGTCACTGCAGACACTACAGCAGCCGCTGATAAAACGCGATGAATACACCACTGAATACAGTGAATCTACTCGGTGTACAATACATATTCTAAACTTCTCCAAGTTTTTATTTTCTTCGAAACGTCTCTTCGCGTGATGGAGCTTTGACCATGAAGATCCCAGAACACATGCAAATTCTTTCAGAAGGAGTGCTCGTAGCATAAAAGGAGTAAGTTTCTAAAGAAGCCGAGGTGTTGCGTCGGAGGAGGATAATGATGTATTGCAAGATAATTCGGTTTATCCGGCTAAGTGATGATGTAAATTGTCCACCGTAGAGAGTTTCTAAAGTTAAACTCCCTACGGTGGCCAATTTACATTAACAACTCGGTTGATAAAATCGAATAACCTGACTCAGAGAATAGAGAATAGAAAGACATCACGGCATTCTTGAAGAAGATTGAAGTCAAAAGATTTCTTAGTCATAACCCGAATAAGCTCCGCCAAACATTTTGCTGCTCGCGAGATCGGGCCTGAACCAGAAATCAAACTCGTACCTGAAGAGTTCTTGTCGTTCCACTTTACCATTTCTGTCCCGGTCAGCTAATTTAAACCAAGCCTCGGCTCCATTTGGATCCAAACCACGAGCTCTCATGAAAATCTTTAATTCATCCAAAGTGACCGTACCATCGTTGTTCGCATCCATGATGTCAAAGAAGGCGTCGGTTAGTTGTTCGAGCAAGGCTTTGTCACCTGCCTCCTTTCTTTCCACTTCATCACGCGCGAGACGGTTGAATCCTTCAGTGAACTTCAACTTTGAAATTTTCTCTCCTGGCATAAAACCCACGGCACCCCAGAACTGACGAAGTTCGATGCGCAAATTTGTGATCTCCGAAGGGGTGGCATTGCACTTAGTTTGCAAATTCTCTGCCAGCTGTAAGAATTCGTCTAGTGTTAAGAAACCGTTTTGGTTCAGGTCCAACGCATCGAAATAATCCCCTATCCTTTTCACCCACGAACTTCTCTTCATTAAATCGACTTTAGCAGACATCTGGCTCTGCAAGTATGTTCTCCAGTCAAGACAAGAAATCGAGTATCCAATATTCCCTGACCGGTATCTCTATCTCGAATCTTCCGCAGATCTGCAGACACGGTTCATGGAATTTATGGCAGCTGTCTTGTTTCTACGCGTAAAGCAGCTATGTTTATACATGACCCTTAAAGTTGTTAGCCGCTCAACTATGAATCGTGGGCTGAAGTTTAAACAAAAGGAAAAGACCCCTGCAGTTTAAAGAGCTCGATTTGAATACACACAAAGAAACAGATGAAATTGGCGACGCTGTTCGAGTGCCCAAAAAAATGAAAATTTTTATTCTGTTTTACTTTCACTGGAACATATCTAATTCCACCGATAATTTAATTGAGAAAAAAAAACAGCTTAAATGGTAACAATCACCAAGGGTTGATCAACTGAGCTAGAAACATCAAAAGACGCAGATGGAGAGCTGTAGACAAAGGTTACCTATGTGAAAAAGGTATTTCTGGTATTTCATGCTTCTTAACCCTTTACATCCGAACTTTGGAGAACAGTATGGAGAATGTGCATACTGATGTTAAACATCAGTATGCACATTCTCCAAACTGTTCTCCATACCTTTTCTAACATCATGACAAGGAGAATGTGTTTAACAATCAACAGCCTATCGGTATTTGTTATTTAACAAGACTACTCGAAAGAGGAATGTGTTCTTTTTGTTAGATATAGAAAGGATTTCTCATCTGTATGGACCATGGACAACAAAATCTTAGGAAACCTACCAGACAGAGAACTTATAAAATGAGGACATATACGCTTACTTGACAACTTTAAATCTCAAATCTGAAGCAAATTTGATATAACTACAAGCAATGCAAAGAATACTAAAGTATCGTAGTTTTTAGTCCGATTTATTGCTGAAAGACACTTGTAAACTATTTTAGCCTGGTTTAAGGCGGATTGGCTGTATTTTGCTTGACTGGAAATCTTCGTCAAGCATTTTACCCACTCGCATTCTTTGTGCGCGGGCACTCAGGGTTATATCTACAGAAAAAGCTAACTTTTGGGTTCGATTCCTCTTAATCAACCAAATCGACACCGTTTGATCACTTAGCAATGCCTTGATCCTACATCATATAAGTTTGGTCACCGAACCTGTTCGATTGATTGTAATTCTATTGAATGCCATAAAATTTAAATTAATAAAGTATTGACTCCGGTAGATCAGCGCGAAGGCAAACACTAGAGGAATTCAAAGAAAAGACGTGTAAACCGCCTAAAACGCGGGAAGACGCGTGAGACAGAGTTTTCGTTTTGCATCTGATTGGTTGAACAGGAAGTGGCGCGAGTTCACTCCACGAATCACAGGGCGTGATCAAGCAAAAGCACTGCAATCGCGGATTACTTTTATTCAAGTAACATGTCGCCTAACACTCCACACTGATGTCCTTCCGTCAGAAGTTTGTGTAAATTAAATTGCATTTCAAATTCTCCATCAATCACACGGCTTGGAAAGAAGGCTTTAACAGAAATTACTACGTGAAAACATTTTTGGGCGACTTCCTTAACCTGTAGTACATGTAGGCAGTAAAGGCGGACAACGAATACCTGAAAAAAAAAAACAAGAAAAACACAAATATCATACGCTTTCAAATAGGAATTTCCGAGAAAAAAAATAATCCTTCTATAACTTAAAATTTCAAGCAATTTTACGTCTT